GATGAAAAGTTGTGCTTCTATTCTACTTTGTATCAATCATAGACACAATGATCTTCGAAAGCTTCCAAGAAAATGATTATCACGATATGAAACAATAGAGCTTGATAACTCAAAATGTGTTTAGATATTTCTGAAGAAAAGTTTTGCTGTTTATTCTCCAGTGATGGTCTTCTTGCATGGTATCAATATTATCATTTTGGAACTCTATCTGCTACTACATATAGGTAGTTATATCCTCGTTTAATAGTTATATCATCTTGAAATGTCGTTAAGACTAAAAGTGGTCATAAGGAAATAAGGGAACCGTTTTCTATTCTCAACGTTCACCGAAGACCCTAAAAAAGAACCACAAGTGTTGAGTCTGTTATAGTGGCATAAGACTCTACTGCAGTCGATTTAGCCAAACAAATTGCTAGTTTGTCTGAATATATGACAAAATTATGTCTTAGATGGGGGATCAATCTCGTGATGATTCTGACAGAAACTCCATAGAGATAATTAAAGGTCCTAGTATGAGTTTAAAAAAAAAAAGTAGTCTCCTCAAGAAGTGGAAGATGAGAGGCAGCCAAAACCTTTTAAGGTGGAGGCAAAAATTGATATTATATCATATAACAGTTTGATTGATACTGAGAAACTAGATTCTTGGATGAACCAATTGAAGACTTACTAAATCTTATATAAGTATAATAGTGAAGACAATGTCTCATTGGCAAGGCTAAAAATGACAAGTCATGCCTTAGTATGGTGGAATTTATATATACAACCAATGAGGATGAAGAAATAAGTTGGGATAATTTTTTGAACCTCATTCGAAAAGAATTTTGTCCAACGGACTACTAAGAAGATCAGTGGAGGCGATGACGAGATCAATGAGTGCAAGAATATACTACTGAATTTAGACATCTAGCTGTGGTGTTAGGAGTTTCGATAGATTTACCTGAGGCGTTTATGAAATACACTTTAGGACTATTGCCACGTATAAGTATTGAGATCTCACTTTATAAACCAAACGATGTGTCTGGCACAAGTATGATAGATATGACCATTCAGAAGAAAAATAGTTGTAACGAGAAATCATTCAAAGGCTCAGGATCAGGCTCATCAAAAAAATTTTAAGAAGGTTACTTAAACCTTATCGTACTGATCATCAACACCAAGTGTTAAAAGGTACTGTGACTAGTGTAAGATCGATGGTCATCAAAGGAGAAGTGTTGGAAGTTGCACTTAAGAAAAAAGCCAAAAGGTAAGACCGTGACAACAACAATAAGTGATAATGAACCTATAGTGGTTGATTAGGTTCAAAGAGCATATTCAAATTTATCTCTAATGACAATATCAAAAGTTATGGATCCGGAGTTACTTACCAAACCTGATGAACAAGAGGAGTTGTTTATCCTAAAAATCCAAGGAAAACAAGAAGTAATTACTGCTATAATGGATAGTGGAAGCTAAAGAAATCTCATCTTTGAGCAATTGGTAAATCTTGTCCTTCAAAAAATAGGTTAAGAAATTCTCCGCACAACAATATTAACTCATTTTCCTCTTTATTTTGAGATGACTTAGCAATAACTACATGAGTTAGATTGACAATATTGAGTGCCTCTGTGTGTTCCTCATCTTTAGATGGTCATATAAATAGTAACACAGACTTCTTTAACGAGTTAATTATCCGTTTGACTTGACATGTAGTGATCAAATCAACATTTTGTTTCATTTTTTGACCAGAAAAGAGGTATTTCCTTCCTTCTTTTAGTAAACCGAATTTTTTGAGTTCGGGATAATAAATGGCATTTTGGTCTCATAAATAAGGACTTCTAAGTATAACCTGACATATATCAAGAGGGATTATGTCATAGGTCACTTCATTGATAAACTAATTGGTAACAGCAAACCGAAATGTATATTGTCGATTAACTTGAAGCCTCACATTTTTGTGAATCCAACCTAACGAGTATGGCTTAAGGTGAGGGGTTTGGGACAATCTTAACTTCTACACCAATTGCTCAGAGATGAGATTTCCTTGGCTTCCATTATCTATCAAAACAGTAATCACCTCTTATTTTACTTAGATTTTTAAGGACAAACAACTCCTTTCCTATATCAGGTTCAGTAAGAAACTCTGAATCCATAACTTTTGGTGTTGTTATTAGAGATAAGTTTGGATTTGCTCTTTGAATATGATCAACTACTATAGGTTCTTTATCACTGGTTATTGTTGCCACAGTCTTACCATTTGGTCTTTTCTTTAGGTGCAACTTCCAACATTTTTTCTTTGTATGACCTTTGATCTTACAATGGTCACAGTACCTTCCAGCACTTGGTGTTGATGATGAGGATGATAAGGCTGAAGTAGCCTTCTTAAACTTCTTATATTTTGATGAACTTGATCTTGAGCCTTCAAAGAATTTCTTGTTACAGCTATTTTTCTTCTTGATGGTCATAGTTATTGTACTTGCGCTAGATGCATCGTTTGGTTTGTAAAGTAAGATCTCAGTACTTATACGTAGCAATAGTCTTGATGTGTATTTCATTAATGTCTTAGGTAAATCCATTGAAACTCATAACGCCACAGCTAGACGTCTAAATTCACTAGTATATTCTTGCACTGATTCATATCGCTTTTGACGTAGGTTGTGCCATTACCTCCCTCGATTTTCTTGGTAGTCCA